TTTTTTAATAAGGTGTACACATTCAAAACAAAGTTATTCATTTATTACAACAAAAATTTATGTTATTACCTACTATGTGCCGGTATTGTGCTAGATGCCAGGATATATCTGTAATAAGCTAGAGTCCATGCCCTTCAGGAGCCTACAGAAAAGAGTGAATATTAAAAATAATCAGGCAATTAGACTACAGTATGCTAAGTATAAGTAGTGTTATAAGAAAGTACTAGTGGTAGGGGAGAAGCAGGACAGGACATTGATAGAAACTATTTGAAGGACCTCTTTGGCTCACACACTTTACCCTGGGAGTCACCTTCTGCCTTTTATCAGAGCCTTCTCTGAACTATGTACCTCCATCTTTCACACATGATCGGGCAAGGGACTAACCTTACGCAGGCTAGGACTCAAAGACACGTGATCAGTTAGCTATGTTGGTTATATAAAATCAAGACTGAGGTGGTTGTTTGAGGCTATACATAAGTAGAAAAAAGACTGTTCTGAAGAAGTCTGGAGAAGAGAGGAGACTCAATCCTCTTGGGAAGAATCTGCTTTGAAGGTAGGTATCTCACTAATGTGCCTGGCAAATTGGTGCTGGCTATTGACAGGAGGCCTCAGATCTTCTCCATGGCACTGCTTGAGGCATGGCAGCTGGCTCTCAGTGAGCAATCCCAGAGACCAAGGCAGAAGCTGCAATGCCCTTTATCACCTAGTCTCAGCAGTCATACACTATCACTCTCACTGTATTTGTCACCAGGCCATCCCCCACTTACTGTGAAAGGAGTGTATAGAAGGCTTTCCTCACTTGTTAACAACTGGAAATAAACCCAACTACCTGCCTAGATGAGGACTTTAACACAATAATATTGGAAATAGCAGCAGCAGCAGGAGCGCTGCAATTGAAAAGGGTAACACCAATCTCTGCCAAAGGAGCAGGCAGGTAGTTAGAAGGAGGAAAAGGGGCAATGAGATTACATTTGCACAACATACACCTACAAAGAACTACTCTAGGTTAAGTAGAGTCATTTGGGGAAGGGGGCATATACACCAGGCCAAAGGACTAGAAACACTGCTCTTCATGGTGTAAGAACATAACTCTCCTTGACTCCTAGCACAATTGAACGAGTGTTAGGTTTTGCATAGTATATGGAATTTGCGGAGGGCATTTGGCGGCAGACTGAACCCCTTTGGAGTAGTCCTAAATTGAATCATAGTCCTAAAGAGTCCTAAGACTTAGGATATAAGCCTCAAGACTTACCCTTAAAACTTAGGACTCTGGGGAGTCCCATGGTTTTTTGGGAGTAACATTTTGCTGAATGTCTACCTTTGAGCATCAACAGTGATCCTCAAATTCTTTACGGTGCATGTACAGTCACTAAGTTTTTAGGGCAAAAACATAATATTGAAATTAGAACTGGCGTTGAAATCCTTACCCTGCTCTTGGATATATGAACTAGTCTATTCTGGTTTCATGTACATAGCAAGTTAACTATGGAGGAGTAGAAGCAATTAAAAGAATTCTAGAATTTTCAAAAAGGGGTTCTAAAGGAGCTGAATACATTTTTCAGGTGTACATAGACTTTTTAAAAACCTTCAGGATAGGACTGAATTTTGTGTTTTGTTTTAATGTAATCTCATATATTTGAAGAAATATACTTACTCATCACAGTTCTCAGAGGCAAAAAATTGAACGTAGCTAATCAAATAAAATACATTTTTCTGAAGGACCCTGGAGTCAAAGGAAGTAAATGATCTCCAATTTCAGAGTAAAAATAAACAAACAAACAAACAAACAAAAAGAATCAGAGAACAACAACAACAACAAAACCTAGTTGAAATGGATAAGCTGAGTACATTTGAAGATCGATTTGGTTACATTTAGGTACAAAGAGAGTATGTAGTCTCAAATGGAAAATCAAGACAAAGGGCAACTGTGATGTGCACACAGTCGACTACAACATAAAAGAGCATCGGACTTAAAGCTCGATGTGGCTGTAGTGACCCCTGCTGGAGCCTATCTTTTAATTTTTCAACTAAAAACCTAAGTCAGGGCTTTTATGAGGATAACTAAAATTTTCATAGAAAAACTGAATTTGAGAGTTGGAAGAACGCTTAGAGGACATTTAGCATAACTTCCTTACTTTGTAACTGATGAAACAGGCCTTTGGCCCAGAGAGGTTAAATGACTTGCTTTAGGTCACACAGCTGGGATTACCAGAATGTAAAGATGTCTGCTCAATTCTTGGGCCTGTTTCCATCAGGGCAGTTTTCTGTTACAACAAATAAAAGTATCTATAACACACAAAATGAGATGTCCAGGAAAAATCTCTTACATTGATTTTAAAATGTTCACTTAATCTAGTTAACTAAAACTCAATTTTGCTGAAGAGAGAATTTCTAATTGATATTAATATATGACATTTTTTTTCCTTTGGCCTTTATGAGTTTCTACAACTTTGAATCTAACTCAAATTTATTTTTGGAATGTTAAGTAGTTCTGTCCTTCACTAGGTTACCTATGTTCCACATCTCTATTTTAATCTTTTTGAAATATTTATTTGGATATTCGTTTTACATCCTTTTCCATTCTTTGCCTCTAAAACTTGTTGATAATGTACTAAGCAAAAGGACAAAAAGGAAACGATGGTAAAGGACCTTACGCTGGGATTTTCTGGAAGGCCTGACTCTGATTCTTACCCTCTACTCAGAGCTCTGGGATCACCCACTCATGAGTGCTCTTTGCATCTTCATTGTCCTTCCACCAATCAATACTTCTCTTTCTCCACTCCTTAAGTCAGAGGTCTCCAGACATATCACGATCATGGGGTTTGTGCATTTACTCTCCTCTCACTCTACCAGAAGGCATAATCCTGGACCCTGCTCATATTCATAGGGAGTTATGGAAGCTGTGGCAAAGTCACTTTACTCCTTCCACATTTCCTTTCCGCCACCTTTAAAATAGGTATAATAATATCAGCTATACATACTTCACAGTGTTTCAGGGAGGATCTCTGTAGTTTTTTCTCTCCAATTATTCAAGCAGGTAGCCAGGTTCATTTCTATTTTTTTGTGTGTGTCTGGAATTTTTTGCATGGGGAAAATTTAAGCCATCTGAAGTTTTAAAAATCCTTCTTATCTTTATAGAAAAGATTGTGGTAGGAGCCCTGGAGAAGGAAGGAAGAAGAGGGCTTTAAGTAAAAAGAACAAGATAGAAGATTGTCCCATTCTGACCAGAAAGGTTATAGAGGTTTATTGGTTTCACGACCAATAGGGAACACCATAGAGCCTGCTCTGAGGATGTCGCTGAGCAGGGTGGAAAGACCTCAGGGTGGAAAGGTTCATGATGTATGATTCAAAACCTAACTGGAAGAGAGACAGAAGTAGAGATTCACATTGATTCATGGGCAAGTGGCACTTTGGCCAAGGAGTCAGTGCGTTGAAAAACAGAATTGGAAGAATGGTTAAAGGGAGGCCTGAAGAAGAGTTTTAGGATGGGCCTCTCAAAGTAAGCAGAGTGAGAATGTGTCCCAAATTAATGCTTACTAAAAGGCATCCACTGTAAAACAGATTCTCAGTAATCAAGTAAAGAGTATAGCCAATCCTGCGGATGCCAGTTAGCTGCCTCCCCTAGCCACCCTGGCGCTTGTACAATGGGCCCATGAACACTGTGGTCCTAGCAACAGGCATGTTGATTATGTTTGGGCTTAAGAACATAGGATTCCTTTCTCCCACCATGATCTGGCTAGTTTCACTGATGAGAAATTTAAGGAATCTGAGTTGAAGAAATGGTTTCATGCCCATTGGAAGAAACTGACTTGATTAAATGGTAGAATAACCTATTGACAACTTATGTTGCCACTTGTAAGACTAGGGAGCTGTCCCACAAGTTATAGCATATTCCCCAAGCCAGCAACTAATATATAATGCTCTTTCTTCCATAGCCAGAATACTTAGATCCAAAAATGAAAGTGTGAAAGTATTGGTGGTTCCATTATTATTCCTAATGACCTACTCACATAACTTTTGTTTCCAACCTCACAATGTTGTGCTCTTAGTTTCCATGGAAGGAGTACTTTTTCCAGGAAACACTAGAAGGGTTCCTTTGAATGGAAGCTGAGACTGCCACATCAGCCACTTTGAGGTCTTCAAGGCTCTGAACCAACAGGGAAAGAAAGGGATTACTATATTCACTGGGACAATTAATCCTAATCATAAAGTGGGAAAAGAGTTGATACTACAAAACAGAGGGAAGACTATGTCTCAAAGGCAAGAGATTCTCTGAGCAACTCTTCATATCCATATCTGAGCAACTCTTCATATCCATATCTGAGCAATTCCTTCCATATCCACGGTAAAATTTACAAGATTAGAGCAAACCAAGCCAAGCAAGAACCACAATGGTTCAGATATTTCAGGAATGAAGGTTTAGGTCACTCTGACTGATAAATAATAACACCTAGCTAAAATGATAACTGAGCAAAGGGAGCACGGGAAGGGGAGTGGAAGAGGGAGTTACAAATACCTACTATGGCCTCATAAAGTGTGTAGACTGCAACCATCATGCATATTTTCTAATTTTTCTCTTTTCCCATCTTCCCTGAAGTCTTTGAGGATTTGAAGCTAATTATGGAATAGGTCAGGGTCTGGAAGCGAAAAGTAGTGGGAATTAACATTGAGGAGATTCGTAATCTTCCTGCAAATAAACCACCTCAGGTGAAATTATTACAGGTTATCAGATGGAAGAGGAGGACTGCTCCTACTAACAACTAAGACTCAGTGGAGTTTGTTAATTCAGGCAACAATTGGTGATATTTTAAGGAATGTTTTGTCATTACATTGTATAAATTATCAGTGTCCTATTTTCTATTGATAGTGAGGTCATTACTGATTTCAAGTCTAATCTATGTGTATGTTAACATCCACAATGTGCTTATACTATGTGATAGATTTCTTTGGAGGAAGGGAAACAAAGTGAAGGATTTGTAGTTGGATTCATCAGAACTTACCCAAACATTTCCATTCACAGGTTCCCACTCTCCTAATCTATGCCTAGAAAGGCTGCACTGTAATGCTGAAAGCTGTAGAAGAAAATTTAGGTTTGTTTTTTGGATATTTCAGCCCCATTAGTACAAGAAATACGACAGTCTTTTAGGTAGTTTCTAGTGCAATCAGAACCTTTCCCATGGCCTTCATGCTTATAATTTCCACTATAATATTTTATTACACCAGTTACTTCAACTCTTAAGCCTTATTGCTGAGAGGCACCTGGTTACCAGCAACAAAAGCTGCTCATTTAAGAAATGTTTTGTCACTGTATGGTATGGATGATCAGTGTCCTATTTTCCATTGACAGTGAGGTCATTACCAATTTCAAATTTAATCTATGTATATGTTAACATCTACAACGTGCTTATACTATGTGATAAATTGTTCAGGAGGAAGGGGAACACAAATGGAGGAAAGAAATGACCCATGGCCTCAAGTATGTTGTGATCTTATAATCAGGAGCTAAAAGAGTTCTGCTAAGCTTCAGAGAGGAAACAGGATTCTTTCAGCTGCCTCATCCCCTCTTCACTAGATGATCGGTGAACACTATATTTGTTAGAGTTAGAGACGAGTAGAGACGAGAGGATCTATTTGTTGGAGTCCTAAGTACTGATCTAGTATTTCTCATAAAAGCGGTGTTATAAATGACAGTTAAGCTTTCACACGAATTCTTCAAAGTCTATTGAACCCAAAAGGTACTGAAATACACTATTATTTGCATATAAAATATTGTAAATATCTGGCAAAATTATGAATAGGCTTTAATTGAATAACCAGGAAACTTAATTACCATCCAGACATTGTTCCTATGGTAAAATATATTTCAAGTCTAATCTAATATGGTATTGAAAATATCCTTTTCCTTTCCCTCCCCTCAAGCATACATTGCCTACCCTGGCATCTATGGTTAAAAGGGAATCCTCCTCTCCTGGCCACTTCCCAATAATGCCATGTGGTCTGGCAATGAAGGAATCACCCCTGACTAGGTGTAAAGAGAAAGGTGGCTTGGGAAATGGTTGGCAGCAGTGGTAGAAAGGAGAAGATGGGCTTCACAGCCAGGATGACTAGGAAAACTAGAAAAGTTTTCCCATGGCTTTTTCAATGCACCATATGCATCTGACCCCAACAGGAGGCCACCAGAGGCAGCATTCCCTCCATCTGTCCCCAGATAAAACCCTTTTCAAGAATACCTTTTACTTCTTTCACAATCAATATTTTACAAAATGTTAAGTAACTTGTCGAAGTCCATTTAGCAAGAAAATATGAAAGCCAAGGTTGAAAGTTAGGTTTATCTTACTCCCATGTCCCTTCCTGTATGTTTTTCAGTACTTTCTGGGAAAATGTAATCACCTTAAAAACAGTCAACAAGTGGGTTAGAAGAGGGGATGTCAGTTAATTAAATGACTGAATCGCAGTTGTTTAACTACAGTCTCTGTAGACTGTAATCTGATTAAAGGAATTTTATTGTGGTTTTTTTGACTCCATGAATACATTAAAGAGTTATATAACATAGCCTCAAAAAATAGTTAATAAGGGGCATTTTCCACCAATCTATCATGATAGATAAACTATATTTCCCATCAGTGGTCTCAAATCAGCCAGCACATTAAAATCACCCAGAAGCTTTAAAATTACCTGAGCTTTGGCCAGGTATATTGGCTCATGCCTATAATCCCAGCACTTTGGGAGGCCAAGGTGGGTGGATCACTTGAGGTGAGGAATTCGAAACCAGCCTGGCCAACATGGTAAAACCCTGTCTCTACTAAAAATGCAAAAATTAGCCGGGCATGGTGGTGGGTGTCTGTAATCCCAGGTACATGGGAGGCTGAGGCAGGAGAATTCCTTGAGCCCAGGAAGCAGAGATTGCAGTGGGCAGAGACCATGCCACTGCACTCTAGCCTGGGGCAACAGAGCCAGACTCTGTCTCAAAAACAAACAAACAACAACAACAACAACAAAAACAAAGAAAAAAACCTGAGCTCTACTCCAGACCAATTAAATTAGACTCTCTGGGGGTAGGGCTTTGTGCAAATTTACCCATTTGACTCGATGTATACCCAAGGTTGAGAAGTTTTGGTATAATATCTTATAAAGAAAATAGACTTCGGAGTCTCAGACCTAGGCTCGAAGTCAAGATCCATAACTTGCTGTCTGTGTGACTTCAACAAGCAAGGTACTTAATTGCTTTAAGAGTGAGAAAGCGAAGAAACCTTCTCAGAGGAATGTGAGTCTCCTCACATTATCAGGCCCAAAGAGGCATGGAAGTAAGGCAGCAGTGACATCCCACTTTCCCTGCTTGAGTTCATCACCTCTTGAAGCTGCTTGCTACGTGGACTCTAGACTGACTGACGCCGCAAATAGCTGTAATTAACCTAATAGTGTTGCATGATGGACACTATAATTCATGCCCTAGAGTTTAACAATGTATAGCTAATCACTAATCAATGTCATTTCTGTAAACCAATGAGAATTCCTGAAAAACAACTTGGTATCAGCCCACGGTCTCCCTTTTTTGCCTTTAAAAACCTACTTTTTACAAAGGTCAAATGGAACTCTTATGCAAGGTTATCAGGTCTGACTCTTCTTGGCAGCTGTCCTCACCTCGGCTCAAGTAAACTCATTAAAATTAAATTTAGTGCCTCAGCTTCTTCCTTTAGGTTGACAAGAGAGTAGATTTTTTAAATTTTATTTTGAGACAGGCTCTGTCGCCCAGCTTGGAGTGCAGTGTGATCTTGACTCACTGCAGCCTCCACCTCCCAGGCATCAATCCTCCCACGTCAGCCTCCCAAGTAGTTGGGACTACAGGCGCACGCCACCACACCTGGCTAATTTTTTTATTTTTAGTAGAGACAGGGTTTTGCCATATTGCCCAGGCTGGTCTCAAACTCCTGAGCTCAAGCAATCTTTCCGCCTTGGCCTCCCAAAGTGCTGGGATTCCAGGCGTGTGCTACCATACCCTGCCAAGAGAGTAGATTTTAAGTGTTCTCACCACATACAAAAAATAAATATGTGAGATAATACATATGTTAAATAGCCTGGTTTAGCCATTCCACAATGTATACATATATCAGAACATCATGTTGTCCACCATAAATATATATAATTTTTACTTGTCAATTTTTAAAAAAAGTGTTAAGTTTTATAAGGATCAGGGAGAATGTATTTGAGCATCTCACATTGCATTTGGAATATAGTAGAAACACAATAAATGGTAGCATTAATACTGGAAAACTGCTATAGTGGAGAGAAAGTGGGTTTAGAATTGGGTATACGTGGCTTCAAATCCCATTTCTACCATTTTACTCTGATAAGTTAAATGTTCTCCGTGCCTTAGCTTCCTAATTTGTATAATGGTTAGAATAATTCCTATTTTAAAGAATTGCTATGATAATTAAATGAAATAACATTTGTAAAACATCTAGCACATTACTTCTATTGTTTGCAACCCAGCTGTACTAGTAAAACTGCCCTTGAAACAGTCACAGAATATTCCTTACATTTAGAAATGTTCTCTTTTAGATGTAGCATATGGTGGTTCTGTGTTAATCTACATTAGATGGGCATATGTAGGTTCTGTGTTTAGTGTAATAAATGTATATAACAGAATACATTCCATTTATTCTATACTGTTAACTATATCAACTGAAGAATGATGAAATTCAGAAATTTGGAAAGGAGAGCTTTATTTCACATAAAGCTTTGTAGCCTGCAGGTGGCCATCCTGACAGGCTGGGAAGCATAGCCTCTGGCCAGAAGTCAGAAACAGATACTTCAAGGGCCAGAAGAGTAAGACAGGAATTTATGCTGAATGGGGTGGCCAAATGTGCATATTTAATAAGCTATAGGAAAAGTCATGAATATTTATGAAAGGAGAAACATATGCATACTCACATGATCCAAGGTTGGAGTTTTCAGCCCTCTTGCATCAAAAGGTAAAGTAGAGGGCACAGAAACCCTCACTGTGCATACTCCATAGACTGGCCAGAACCACTCCATAGTCAGTGGTCTCTTATCAGGTAAAAGGGAGGGGCAATGTCAGGTAAAAAGAAGGGGCAATGTCAGGTGGATAGCTGTATCTGTGGTAGTCTTCAGAAAGGCCTGGTTTCTATTTAGCCCCTAGGGGAGAAAGCCCATCCCATCATGGTTGGGAACTCAGTTTTCAAAGTTTCTCTGGGGTCCCCTTGGCCAAGAGGTAGTTTTGTTGAGTCAGTTGTGGAGTGGCGGGTGCTTAGGATTTCATTTTTATTTCTCACCTACTATACCATAGAATAAAGCTTCAAGATTTGGTGGCTGGATATAATGAAGGGACTTACTGAGGAGAGGGCAAGTGGAACCCGCTGAGTTAGTGAGTTGGAAGGGAAATGCAGGCATCTCACCCTTCCATCTATAGGGGAGTTTAAATTTTTCCCCCAAAGGGTCTAATAATTTAAGTCTTTAAAACAAACTAATAGAGTAACAGAAAAAACGCATACAAATTGACTAACATGCACATGTGTGCACAGGAGTCATATACAATATGAAAAACTCAAAGAAAGGCAAGATGGTTAATGCTTAAATATTTGCTTCACTGGGGAGAGGTAAGATGGGGGTTAGGAGTAAATTATTTTCAGGGGAAAAGAATGAGCCCAAAAAACAATTCCCTGGAACTAAGTTCCTCTGGGCTCTGGGGGACATGGAGTCACAGGGTACAGGAGGGAGAGAAGAAGAAAGGCATGGGTTAAAGGAGGTCTTGTAATGCAGATGAAAATCTCTCAGGTAATGTCAGGGATGCCCTCAGAAAAAACAGATGGTAGCTTGTGGTTGAGTTAATCTTTCCTAGATCCAGAGAGGGAGGTGTCAGGGAATAGGGAGATGTCAGGGAATGGGGGAATGGGGATTGGCTCAGAGAAAGCATGGCTGTTGATTTCACTGATGCACATTTTCTTTACAAATACAAATCTCCTCCACAAAAGACAACCTTGCAGGGCCATTCCTTTCTGCAGACTCTCTCAATATCCATCTTAAAATATGTTTTATAAAGTATATTTTGGAGTAAAATAGTTTTAGTTTCCTTTACATCTGTGTTGATCTGTGTTGTTAGGCAGAGCTGCTGCTTGGACCTGATCCCCTAGTGAAGATCAAAGTGACCCAGAACACAGGGGAAGCCAGGCTAGATTGTCATCACTGCCTTCGTGAAATGGAATCTTGTACAGTCATCATTAGCTACTTACATCTCAGTGCTTCAATGCTATAGTAGTAGGGGTTTGTAATCAAGACACATTGTGTCAGCAGTGTTAAAACATCCCTGCTCCATTCTGACAACAAAATCTATAAATAGTTGATCTGGATATGGCTCACACCAGACCCTTGTTTAATTCTCTATCTTCACAAGATGTGCCTGGCATATAAGGCCAAAGAACCTGGACCAATGCCTGACACATACAAAGTACTCAATAAATGGCCCTTGAATTGAACTGACCCGTGTCCTCTGCCTGGAACACTTCTTTAGCTGGAACTAGATGTGAACATTTATTGGGTCTTACCAAGTGCCTGACCCTTTACTAGGCACTTTATATAGAGATCACCTCATTCACCTGGCAAACTCCTGCCCATCCTTCAAGATCCAGCTCAAATGTCACCTATTCTGTTAAACCTTGATTCCCTCCAGCAAAGTCCTCTGTGCTTTTGCACTGACAGCTCTGCTCAATCTTTAGAAGAGCGCTTACCACCTTCTATGTTAACAGATCTGTTTACAAGTCTGTCTCCCCCACTGGAATATGAGGTCATCGGGAGCATTGTGTCTTCATTAATTTTTTTGTGTGAATGGCACAAACATGATGAAATTAATTTGTAAAATACTCTTGCAATTTTGCTAGCTGTCACACTGAATATATTTATTTAAAAAACTACATCCTTCTAGACAAAAGCCAGCTAATTTTTATATAACTGAGAAAGAAAGGGAGTTTCTATATAACCGAGGAAGAATGAATTCTATAATATCTGCACAGACCAGCTGTGAGAATCAACACCTCACAAGAAATACATAATATATTTCTGCTAGCACCAACCTTGGAATCAAATAGGTGTGCTCAGGATATCTATTTCACCTGGTCACCTTCAGCTGGCAGTTCCAATAGGCTGCAATAAGAAAAAGAAGGATGAGAAGATTTGTATCTCTCTCTCTCTCTCCTTCTCTCTCTGACACATACCCCCCTCATTTTTCACTAAAGCATTATTGTCCAAAATCTCTTTTTTTTTTTTTGGGAGTCTTGCTCTGTCTCGCAGGTTGGAGTAGAGTGGCCCAATCTCGGTTCACTGCAACCTCTGCCTCCTGGGTTCAAGCAATTCTCCTACCTCAGCCTCCTGAGTAGCTGGGATTACAGGTGTGCATCACCACATGCAGCTAATTTTTGTATTTTTAGTAGAGACAGGCTTTCGCCATGTTGGCCAGGCTGAAACACCTGACTTCAGGTGATCCACCCGCCTCAGCTTCCCACAGTGCTGGGATTACAGGGGTGAGCCACTGTGCCCAGCCCAAAATTTTTTTTTTTTTTTTTTTTTTTTTTGTGACGGAGTCTCGCCCTGTCACCCAGGCTGGAGTGCAGTGGCCGGATTTCAGCTCACTGCAAGCTCCGCCTCCCGGGTTCACGCCATTCTCCTGCCTCAGCCTCCGGAGTAGCTGGGACTACAGGCGCCCGCCACCTCGCCCGGCTAGTTTTTTGTATTTTTTAGTAGAGACGGGGTTTCACCGGGTTAGCCAGGATGGTCTCGATCTCCTGACCTTGTGATCCGCCCGTCTCGGCCTCCCAAAGTGCTGGGATTACAGGCTTGAGCCACCGCGCCCGGCCAAAATTGTTAACTCAAATATAAAATGGAGAAAGAATACTCACAGAGTTTTGTAAAGATAAAATGAGATAATGTATATGAAGTGCCTGATACCGTGACTAATTCATTGCCAGCTAAAAAGTGGTAGTTACGGTACTTGTGGGTTCGGTGGCCCACACTAGACCACACTTTATTAACCTTCTGGCTTTCTGATTCCTTTGTTTCCACTAAATAGTGTGGAGCAGGAAGCTTAGTGAGAAAAATTTCTTGACTCTTAGGTGTTTGACATGAGCAAGCAACTGGTTGAACTGTGGCACCATTTACTGAAATAGAGAAGATTGCGTGGGGAGGGTAGTTTTGATAAATCACAAGTTCTGCCTTGTACATGTTAAGTTGAAAATTCCTATTAACTATCCAAAAGGGGTGTAAAATAGACTGTTGAATAGGAGTCTGGAGCAGATCAGCAAATAATTAATGTTAAAAGTCAGAGAGTCGGATGAAACATCTATGGAAAAAGCATACATATAATACATGAAATTTTTTTTTCACAGTTATAAAATGGATTCTGTTCTAAAATTTTCCTTTCTACTTGTATTTGATATTCACCTTTCTATGTCAGTACATATAGATTCAGCTGGAGATACTGTAACTTATTTAATTTCTAATAGTTGTACATGTATTTTGTTCCCAACTTAAAACATTACATGCTTTACAAATATCTTTGAGAGTTTATGCAAGTTCATCAGAGGGTACAATCCTAAAAGATAGAATTGCTGAGTCAAATGCAACGGCATATTTAAAAATTTAAAAGATAGGGCCAGATTGTCCTGCAAAATGGATAAAAAGTAAAACTTATACTCCCACCAAGAGGGAAAAAAGGGGATATTTTCTCATGCTTGTCCTCACTTTGAATGAGAAATGGTATTTCACTGATCTTTTAATTTTGTTCTTATTAACTATGAGTGAGGTTGAACATCTTTTCAGAGGTTTATCAGATAAATATATATATATGTGTGTGTGTGTGTGTGTATATATATATATATGTATTTCTTTTTGCCATTTTTCCATTGGGTTGTTAACCTTCTTATTTTTAAGAGTTCTGGGCTAAAGGTAAGAAGAAAGCCTTTTTTTTACCCTATCATAAGTGCTTCATTTTCACCCTTCTGCTATGTTTGTATACTAGGACTTCTATTTCAGGCCACATTTAATAACCAGGTAGTTTATTTATCTTCCTGCTGTAAACAATTAGAACATAGGGTAAAATATAAGAAACAACTTTTCAGAAATTGGACACTGGCAGCATAAGGCTGTAATTCCTAAGAGAAGGGAAACAAATGATGTGATGCACAGAATTGTCCTAGAGGCAGATTTTGGATCACAGTGAAGGGAGGAGAAAACTAAGAGAAAAGCCATCTTGCTAAGTCAAGGAAACAGATCAGTAATTGGAAACACTGAGGAGACTAGGTATTGTGGGGCAAAGGGCCAGAGAGGAGGGAGCTATGCAATGAAAGGCTGTAGAGGTCCCCTTGAATCTGAAATAGGCTGTAAATGAATGGAATGAAAGAAACTTCATGAGACAGGCAAAGAACTCCTTAAGAACAATAGCTGAACACTTACTTGAGTTCACAATGGGCTCTAAATTCTCAGTAGCCAGAGTAGGAAGACTAGTGAATGCCCAGGGCATTAAAAAACCCTAGAAAGGTCATGCATTAGTAATCAGTCTAAACTAGTCCTAGAATAAAGGCTACTGTAGACCAACCCTAGTAAACTTAAAAGTCAGCCTTTAAAACATTAACTTGATCTACAAGTAACTTGACTCCTTGTCTAAACCAACTTCATCACTCTTCAGAGGAAGACAACAAACTTCAGCTATTCTACAACATAATATTTACAATTCCCTGCACTCAATAAAAAATTACTAGACATACAAACGAGAAAAAAAAATGTGACTCATACTAAGGGGAAAAACAGTCAATAGAAATAGACGAATAAATAAATAAGACATAGATAATGACTGGGCATGGTGGTCAATGCCTGTAATCCCAGCACTTTGGGAGGCTGAGGCGGGTGGACTGCTTGAGGCCAGGAGTTCAAGACTAGCCTGGCCAACATGGCGAAACCCTGTCTCTAAATAAAAATATTAAAAAATCACTTGAACTCAAGAGGCAGAGGTTGCAGTGAGCCAAGATCACGCTACTGCACTCCAGAGTGAGGCTCTGTCTCAATTGAAAAAAAAAAAAAAGAAATAGATAATGTAATTTGCAGAGAAGAACTTTAAAACAGCCACTATAAATATGCTCAAGGTTTTAAAGGAAAATATGAGCATAATAAGGAAAAAATAGAAGACATAATATGAATTGTCTGGAGATGAAATATAATATCTGAAATGAAAATTCACTTGGTTAGATTAATAGACAATTAGATACTGCAGGAAAAAAAATCAGTTGTACCAGAAGAAATAGCAATAGAAGCTATCAAAACTGAAGTACAGAGAGAAAAAGAGACTGAGCAGTAATATTAACATAGCCTCTGTGACTTGTAGGACATTAAGTTGTCTAATTAATATATGTGTCATTACAGTCCCAGAAAATGATGAGGGGATAAAAATATATGAATAAATAATGGCTGAGTTTTTTCCAAATTTAATGAAAACTATAAACTCCCAAATCCAGAAAGCTCAATGAATCCAAAGCAGTATTAACATAGAGAAAATCACATCAAAGCATATAAAATAATACTGCTGAGAATTATTGATAAACAGAAAATCTTAAAAGTAGCCAAAGAGTAAGACACACTACATACAGGAACAATGATAAGTAATATTGATTTCCTGTCAAAACAATGCAATCTGAAATATAAATAACATCTTTAAAGTGTTTAAAGAAAAATGTTGGCAATATAGAATTCTATATCCAGTGAAATGTCTCAAAATAAGATTAAAATAATGTCTTCTTCAAACAAACGAAAGCTGAGAGGATTTGTTTCCAACAATCGTGAAGTAAAAGAAATGCTAAACGATTTCTTTCAGGCTTAAGGAAAATGTTATCATATAGACACTTCAATCTTCAACAGTAGTTCTCCACTGGGGAGAACTTGCCCCCCAGAAAACATTTGGCAATGTTTGAAGGCATTTTTAATGTGTATGAAATGAGGAGAGTTGTTGCTGGCATCCAATAACTTGAGCCAGGAATGCTGCTAAACACCTTACAATACACAGCATACCTCCCCACAATAAAGAATAATCCAGCCTAAAATGTCAAAGTGCTAATGTTGAAACACTTATCTACACAGGAAATGAAGAGCACTGGGAAATATAGGTATACGCAAAAATACTTAAAGCTTTTTATAGAAAATTGTTTAAGGCAAGAATAACAACAATGTATCAGGGAATTTATAACATAGGTGAAGGTAAAATGTATGACAGCAATCATACATAAAGCAGTAAAATATCATTTGAAGGTAGACTATGATAATTAAAAAGTATCTACATAAAAACAGGCATAGTGAGTAAATCAATAGTGGAGATGAAATGAAACACTAAAAAATAAACTGAAAGAAGACAGAAAAAGAAAAATGGAACAAAGAAGAGATGGAACCCTAAACTTAAACCAAATCATATTGAAAATTACATTAAATGTAAATAATCTAAACACTCCAATCAAAAGGCAGAAGTTATAAGACTGAATAGAAAACAACACCCAACTACATGTGGTCTACCAAAAAAAAAAACACTGGAAAAATAAAGACACAGATAGGCTGAAAATGAATGGATGAGAAAAAATACAACATAAAAACACTAATCCTAAGAAAGCTGGGTGGCTACATTAATGTCACACAAAGCTGATTTCAGGACAAGGGATATTGCCAGAGATAAAGAAGATGATTTTATAATGATTAGAGTTGATTTAATTTATCATGAAGACATAATAATCCTAAATATGTATGCACTTACTTACAGAGCTTTAAAATACATCTAAAAACTGACAAATGAAAAGAGAAGTAGTCAGATTCATCATTATAGTTGGATACTTTAACACTCCTCACTTAGTAACTGATAGAACAAGTAGATAGAAAATAAGAAAGGCCATATAGAACTTAAACAAACCTGACTTAACATTTAAAGAATCATACATGCAATAACAACTGAACACAAATTCTTTTCAAGTGTTCATGAAACATTCACCAAGATAGAACATAAGATGGGTCATAAAACCATTTTTAATAAATGTAAAATGATTTCAATAATACCTACTACATTCTCTGATTACAGCAGAAGTTAGAAACCAGTAACAAAAATATATCTGGAAAATACC